CAAAATGATGGTGACGTCAATATACAATCATAAAGTGGTCACCCATTAACCACGACTCACTCTTCAGACGATTTTGCACCAAACCCCCCTTCTCTAATTGTAACAAATTTTCACAAAAAGCCAGATCTTCGCTCCCCCCCCCCACCAATCTCTTTAAAAACACTACACCTCAACACATAACCCCCTCCGCCGTTCCCCTGAAACTGCATTTTTACTTTCTCGTATATACGAAGTATAGAGAAAGTCTTGTAATCGTGCAAAAAAAAAAAAAAAATCGAGATTTTTTACAAATCTCGACGTTTTACACCTCACTGATACGGAAAAACATAATTTTGCAATCTTGTCCGTATGTCTGTGTCTGTGTGTGTCTGTCTGTAAACACGATTACTTGAGTACCGTTACAGCTAGGTTGATGAAATTTCATATATAAGTATTTTATCAAAATCATAGATCCGTATAAACTTTTGAGTGATTTCCGATAACCGAAAGTGGTACTTTTTCTACTTTGAATTTTTCAAAAGCCTATAACTTGAGTACTATTGCAGATAGATAAATGAAATTTCACATGTAAGTAAAAGATCTAATTCTCTACCTTCTGTCAAATTTTGAGTAATTTCCGTTGACAGGAAGTACTAATTTACGCTATTTCCGATTTCTCAAAAAACGCACGTAAATTTATAAAGTACTAATAATGTTGCGCACTATTATGCACATCTTTATTTGACGTTCACTTGGTGTGCAATTCTTTTTTCTACGAGGTTTTATTCTATTTTAAAAAGTTTAAGTATTTAAAATGGATTAAAAATCATGTCTATATCCCGAGTTGCCATTTCCCGTAGTGTTATATTAGAATATTCGAGAAAGTTTAGGGGAGATCACTCCCGGTTTATTATAATATGTACTGACCTCGATAAACATTGAGTTAATAAATGAATTAATACCAAAAGCAATCTTTTAAAGCCCGAAATAACGGATGAAAGCAAAAATGTGTCGTCACACTTTCCGATCATCCCTTCCCATAAATGAAAAAAAAAGCCTGAACATACTAAAGGAGAGTATGGATGTTGATGGAGGATCCCAACGTTAAAAATTAAAGCAGCGCAAAATTTCAGGAATCCATGTTACATATTATTATTTTCCGTAGGTATAACAAAGGTATTTACATTGTGTTTTATATTTTACGAGCCGCTATCATACGCCTCTATTTTGTTGTTTCATTTTCTACTTTTCAGTAATTCATAATTTGTGAATTTGACAGTAACAATGCTGCCACTGAAAATATTTGCTTTAAAACACTATCAGTAGCTCGTTAAGGACGATAACCCCCCCCCTCCCCACCCTCCTTTCCCAAAAATCCTACCCCCCCCCCCTCGTGAAAGCAGCCCCTCTGAGTTACCTCCACTAAGTTTAAAATCGTTTCAAACTAAATTATCTGCCCCTAATAGCTGTCACTAAACCCGGCTCTACGATTGTAAACATTTAGCTTGAACCACAGCTCACCAGACCATGTAGGGATGGGGGTGGTAGGGATAGAGAGAAAGAGAGGGGGCTGCTAGGGGCGCTTACAGCTTGGTGTTTTCTATGGTATCCATGAAGAGAATTATTTATATAGAAGAAATATATATTAAACCAGCGTACCCGTCCCGCGCGTTGCTGCGGTCTCAGAAGACAGACTGACGCAATATTTTAAGAGGATTCCATAATTACATTAGCAATCACGTATTTTTTTACGCTTGACATTGATTTCTAAATCTAAACAATTTAAATGTAATCAAAGCCGGTGTTATATTGCTTTCATCATAGTTGTTGAGGCGCAAATTCTACCGCACACAGTAGCCCATTGTATCCATAATGTATCGCACTCTTTAAAACGAACGTAGGCGCAATAGTGTTTATGAGGGACCCACACAGGGGCGCTAGACCACACGCCAGTGGTGCAGTAGACAAAAAATTTCCCTACGGTAGGGCGCTCTTTTAAAACTCATAGTGTTCCTCCCGAAGCCAGTGGCGCATCGGGTCAAACGAATTGTCATCGAATGTCGTGTGCCACAGGGTCAATATTGTAGAGTGCTCTTTAACACAACCTTAGGATATCTCAGGGCGCCAAATCGCTTCCTGCCGGGGCGCCGGCAGACGCGCCTGATTCCATATAGTCAAAAATTATTGTTGCCCATCGTGTCTTTAGTGTATAAATTAAAAAAAAAACGAAAGTAGGCGTCATAGTGTTCACATGGTAGCACGGGGCGCTTCGGGTTACGTAATATCCGGGGCGCCTTAGCCCCCATGCAGTTTTAATATCGCCGCCCTGGATTTTCAGGCGCCAAGCCGTTTATTAACAAAAATCGCACCCTCCAGGGAAACGCCCATAATAAATTTTAATTTTTGTTTTCGCAGAAACCTTCTCGTGAGTGTTTTCATTAACTCTCGAAAGTTTAACGGCACTCAGATAAACGATGTCAAACAGCATCCGTTTTGTTTTTTACAAACTGTGTAGAGAAAAATTGCACCCTCCAGAAGCGCCGCCCTGTTAAAATAAAATAAAAAATAACCTCCCCTGAAGTTTTATGGCGAGCGGATGAACGGGATTAAACCGCAATCTACTTTTACGTATATATATCCTATATAGGGATCTATATATAGAATCGATTCGCGCCCTGCTGGGGCACCGTGTTTGTGAAATATATCCAGTGGTATTCTTAACTTAAGTTGCATGGCCATAGGATGAAAGGTGTAGTGCTGCATAGAGGACATAAACAAACCCACAAACAAACAAGCAAAACTTCATTATATATATACATAGAGAGAAATATAAATAATTCTACATATGCATATATATATATATATATATATATATATATATATATATATATATATATATATATACATATATATATATATATATATATATATATATATATATATAGCTACATTTGGTGACTTCCCATTTTCCCCAATGGCGTCAAATTTTGCACATAATCCACCTATTAATTCATGTGAAAAAAAGCATCGTTTTCATCGTAAATTATTAGATTTTGGTATCAGCCTCTCTCCGGTCGTCGCTTAGCAAATCTGTTATCCAAAAATTCAACAAGCATGTATTCACCTGTACATTTTGCAGTTTGTGTCATCTCCCCTCACCCCCCCCCCCCCCCCTGAATGATAGTTTTTAAACGTGCACAGTTAATTGTATATTTTTTTATCTGCAGTCAGTTATTAGTACAGTTAACTCTCATTAGTCATTTATTGAACTGGCAAAATGCTTACTTCTTCTATATATTTTGCTATTTTTCGCCATGGTGTCACCCCCGAAATTTTGCCACCTTGCGCAGTCCTCAGCCCCCCCCCCCCCAACCTTGTGACGCCTGTGGTTAGGGGTACTACTTGAGTACAGTAAATATGTATATATATATATATATATATATATATATATATATATATATATATATATATATATATATATATATATATATATATATATATATATATATATATATATATATATATATATCGGGGGGGGGGGGTATAGCCCCTTGGCACACCTTGTACCTACGCCACTACATAATCATGTTCTTAAGATTATATAGCACATTCTATGTATACATTCGATAAAAATAGCTATTACGTATTCTGCAATTTTATATTTGTAATAACATATTGTAAACGAAATGAGTCTTAAATTCGATTAAAAAATGGGCCTTTATATTATGTATTTTTTTCTATTTTGCAATCATATCATGTATTACTTGTTGTATAGCCTAGATTCTATAATAATATACTAATATATTCTATATTACATAATCCTATATTATATCGTTTAGTAATCTCTACCCTAATGTTTTCTATACCGAATAATCAATATTCTGTAATTCTAAATTGTGTATAAATTAATCATACAATCTCTAAAATTAATCATAACTATGATCACAATTAAATTTAGCAATCCACTGTATTAATTTATATTGCTAAAAATAATTTAATTTTCAATTTTAAAGACAGAAGATACATTTTTTATAATATTAATTATTATTAGCTCTGTAAAATGAATGGTTGTTTAATTTTTCTTATATTAAATATTTTAAGCGATTAATTAATCGAAATGGTTTTATTCCGTTAGCTAGTTTTTACAGTTTATAACTATAATTAGAGTCTCAACGACAGAATCAAATGAGAAAAAATCTATAGCGTTATTATATACCGACACTGTTGATAAGCCACTCAACGACAGTCTCGTTGAGAATAGTGTAGGATCGGCTGACTAGATCTAGATATAGAATCTAGAATCTAGCCATGAGTCATGCTCCAATTTATTATATCTCATTATTAGATTTAGTAGATCTATTCTCTAGCTAACTAGAATCTAGATTTTTTTAGATTATTTGCTATCTACTAATCTAGTATTACTAGTATCTACTCTAGTATTAGTATCTAGAATCTTCATAGTTCATAGATTAAATCTAGATTCTAGATCTAGCTAGAATCTAGATCTAGCTACTACATCTGTTTCAGTGAGTTTCAGTGTTTGAGTCCGGATCCCAGTCTTTTGGACGTCCCTGGCTGAGTCCATCTAGCTCTGATGAGTAGATCTACTTGTCTTAATTTACAACTTACGTTAATAGTACGTTACTTTAAAAACTATTAACCTGTTAAGTTTTAACTTGATTTGAATCATGACGTAAGTAAAGTATGTACATGCAGCTGGAAATATTCATAAGCCTAGGTCATAGGAGCACACCAAGTTTGGAGTAAACATCATTTTTTGGGCTTTGTGTGTGTATTATTAACTTATGTGGGAGTCACATATTAGTTATTAGTAGCTTTTAATTTTTACTCTTGTAGTAGTAGTATATTCAGGGCAAAATAAAGTAAAAATGTAGTTAAAATCAGTTGAATAAAGTCTTTAACTCATGTTATAGCCTACTATTGTGTAATCTAATAAACATAGTTGTAAAATTGTAATTAAAATTAAATCTGGGGTAAGGTTATGTACATTTAAATCTGTATTATAACTAACCCAGGCCTCAGCATTGATAAGACACCTTATTCTAACTCTCACCTTAACTCTAACTATATCCCTGGTAAACCATAGCTTAAACTAGCTCTAGCCTAATTGTAGCTGTAGGAAACAGACCCACTTTTTTAATTGAAAAGTTTAAAGAAGTAAAGTTCCCTTTTTGAACCTGATGGTCCACGGAGCAGGTGAATTAGAATTTACCTGTTACTGTGACCTCAGCATGTGAAGGAATAGCTACCCATCAGAGCTGGGTGAACTCAGAGATGTTCTACAGACTTAACCCGGATTTGCAGTCTAGCATTCTACTGCTAGGCCCCACCATCCCATTTTTTTTTTAGTTTTATGTTTCTGATAAGTTCCAATGCAGCTGTTGCCCTTCATTATTGATCCATAACCTAAGCACCGCTTAATAATAGATAACACTTGAACTTTGAAAGCACTGATATGAATTATGATTCACAAATGACCTTAGATGTAGAATGTAGAGCAGAAGCTGCATAGTATGCTGTTTTGACCTAATATTCACTGTTATTATCATGAGGCCTTATGACTCTAAGAATACTTCAAGTGGTAGTTCATGACATAGTTGTTTTTACACTGCTTATTGGCTCAAAGGTAGTGTTACCTTGCTGTGACATTTCTTGTGAATCATTTTAATCATTAATGATTAAAACTGTAAGTTACAGTAATCAGCTGATTGTTATACTGTTATCATTTGTTATGTCAGTGACCTCTTTAGTTTTTTTTAACAATTCCCTTTACATTTATTTCTTGGATAAGTATTTGGCAACTGATAATTGTGACAAAGCAGGGTAGATTGTAAAATCAACTAACTGCACATTTTTTTAAAAACTTACATGTTGATGTATAAATTTAAAAATATCTTGTTATATTTGAAAGCATACATTTTAATTATAATATATTACTTTGATCAAAAGTAATAAGTTTGTATTTATGTTACTGATAAATAAAACAGAAGCTACATTTTAAAAATATATTTTAAAATATTGTTAGCTAAAAGTAGGCCTTATAAGTAATAGGTTAGTAGATATTTAAAAGTTAATTATAAATTTTAAATTCATTATGTACAATAAATATCTTTTTTTATTAACACAGATTGCTGGAATAAACTTGTATACGTTTGATTTACCGGTGGTTAAATGTCAGTAAACTAATTGAATTGAGCATGGAGTTTGTGAATCCTGTTATCAGACTTGTACAAAACCCTACTGTTACAGCTTCTGTGTGTTTTGCAGGGCTGTATGCTGCTTATTATTTATTTTATGTTGTTAAGGTGAGTAGACTATTTTATTAATCTTGCCAGATTTTAAATCTAGCTTTTTATAAAAATAAATAAAATAGCTTTTAAATTTTAATGTTCTCAATAAACTTGCTCATAACCAAAGAAAATGTGTTAAAGAAAAAGACTGTATCTAAAATAAAATGCGTAGATATTTCCAGTTTAGTTAGCCTTCATCTAAATTTGAAAATGTTAAGAAAAATTTTTAATAACGGTACAGCATATTAATAATGTATATTATTTCATAAAATTTCCAGAAACCTGTGATAGCTTGTGGTGATAAGAAATTCAGACAGTTTATTGACAAACACTGCCCTGTTTCAAGGGAAAAGTTCTGGCCAACATGGTGGTGCTTTGAAGCCAGAGCCCATACTATTCTCAGAGCTCTGTTACAGTCATGTCCAGAAGTGGATTATTCAGAGTATGTTTTAAAAAAAGATGTGAAGTTTTGTTGAGTATGTTAGTTGTCTATGTCTACTTTACATGCAGACTTTAATTAATTAATTATGTACATTTTAAATGCCCATGCTGTATAAAAAATGATAAAGAATTGTATAAATAAATTGAGTGATATGGACCAATGAACTACCAATGATAATTTTTGTATGTGCCTATCCAGAGAATATTTAACAACACCCGATGGAGGGGAGATCAAACTAGACTGGAGTGAGAATGACAGCAATACCAAGTACACCAAAGATTTGAGACCCACTATTGTAATGCTCCCTGGGCTCACAGGTAGGCTGTACAAATATTCGTCAACATTTAAGTTTTCTATGTCTTGAAAATATGCAAACAATGAATGTGAATCCGCAGTTTATGATAGCATAAATGATAAATTTACATATTACTTACTTGTTGTTTAAAAATATGTTAAGAAATACCCCTTCTCATGAATCAGGGAGCAGCAAAGAAAATTATATCCTCCACATGGTGCATGATGCAAATGACTTGGGATACAGATCTGTGGTCTTTAATAACAGAGGGACAGGAGACACTAAGCTTAAGGTATCAAACTTGGATGTTGGTATAATAAGTAAACAGTAGAAACTTGGTACAAGGCAGTGGTGGTTTTCAAATTTTGCCACAACAGCTCCCTTGAAAATACAGAAAAATCTTGGGGCCTCCCTTACCCATAATGTGTATAATTATTAGTATAACCATAACACAATGCTGTGAAGCTTTGTAGTTACAATCAGGATTCACAGATTCTCATGTCGTTTAACTGTTGTCTCCAGAGACAATCATTATTTTTAAGAAAAACATCCAAGCAGTGATAAATGTTTGTGTTCTACTGTTATGGTAACTAGTCTACAGTATTTAACATATTTTCTTTAACAAACCAGACCCCAAGAACCTATTGTGCTGCCAACATTGAAGATACAGAGTTTGTTATACAACATGTCAAAAACAAGTACCCTAATGCGCCTCTGATGGGGGTAGGAGTATCTCTAGGAGGGTAAGTTGTTAAGTGTTGATATATATTTTAAAGACTTAATGGTGTTTTTTTTTAAATAAAAGAAGTTTCTAAGTAATACTTGGATTAAATTATTTCACTCCAAAAATGTAACAAATATTTAAGTAACTTTTAAGATTAATGAAGTTAATTATATTTAACAGATTTGAGAATCATTTAACCTTAAAGCAATGTGTTGAATTTTCTTGTCTCATGGTTTCTAAATCATTAGTACAGTTAATCAAAAGTTTTTGAAAATTTATTTTTTATGTTATTATGCTGATTAATGTCCATAAATTATTAAATATGTGAGCATTAAATATCTTGATGGATCAATAAATTAACCTTGAACTTTATACAGGCTGAAACTATTAGAGGTTAGTATAATATTCCAGGAACCAAAGGCAATATTACCGTGTTGATATACTGATTGTAAACACAAAAAAACCAGACTCAATGTTGTATATTTCTATGTCCATCTTTTACGTAGAGCAATATTGTTCAACTATTTAGCAAGAAGTGGTCAGGGGAGCAAGTTAATTGCTGGCATCGTCTGCTCTCCAGCGTACAACTTTAGCGAATCAACAAAAACACTGGAGCAGCCAGTAAATTATTGGATATTTAATAGGAGGCTAGCGAGCAACCTTTGTCACTTGTTGAGGAAGTGAGTGCTTCAGTATTGTATCAGAGGTAGTGGCTAGGTCTAGAGTGTTGCCAGTCAGAACTACTTGTCTGGGCAGTTTAAATTTTTTAATTTAAAAAAAATCGGTACTTATTAATATGTCATCAGGATGGAATTGATGCTATATCTTGTGGTAGTAATACTACGTAATACTACTTAAACCCTGGCTTTAAATATAGCCTTATGTATAATCGAAATCTATCTTCGTTCTTGACCCTAATATAATATAAAAAAAAAAACTTGATAGGATATAGTTTTGTCCTGCTCGCATATTTATAAGTACCTAAAAGTCTGTCGGTCAAGTGTCCAGATTTCTCTCTTCTGACTTGCTGTGCCTCCAGCACTGGTCACTACAGTTTTATGTCCTTGTCTTTGCAGTTAACCTTGTTATTTGCAGCATGATTATTTTCAACTACATGGCATTAAAAGGGAAATCTGCTGATCTAATAGCCGCCATGAGCATCTCAGTAGGTTGGGATGTGTTTGCTGCTTGCGATTCACTGGATAAGGCCATTAACTATTATCTCTTCAACAAGACTCTGGCCAAGTCACTGTGTTATTTAGTCGAGAAGTGAGTTTAGGAATCAGCTTGATTTACTATCAGTTCCACTTCCCAGTGTTCTACCATGTGGTAAGGTAGTGCACTTCTTGCTTCGAGTATGTGTTCTAGATATAACAGAACCATCCATAAAAGACATCCGTGTAACCCTATTCACCTTTCTGATATTTTTTATGCAACTCCAAGATGTGTTTAGTTTTGAAAGATGAAACCTGTGTTATTGTCTGTAACTAAAAAAATGTCACCAAAATGCCAGGAGGAAAAGAAAAAAATATCTGTGAAAATTAAAAGTTACACTGCTCTTAAATGCAATATTAGACGAAACTTAAATGCCTCATACATAAAGCTGACATTTGACTAAATGTAAAAATAGATATTATACATGTAAATTGGTGAGCTATATCCTTGGACTTGCTACTTATACTCATCTATAGACTTATTTTACCATTCCCTCAACCCTCTACTTGTGGAAATCTTTTATGGAAGGCTTTCAATTCATTTACATTATTGTTAATGAGTGTCCTGAGTGCATGAAAAGAGTTAATTTTTTTGTGTTGGAATATCTTGCTTGCATTGCAAAAGTTAAATTTAAATTTGCCATGGAATATTCATATTTTTTACTTCGTGGAATTATTTATGTTTATTATACATATAAATATAGAATTGCATTTCTACTGAATTCTTTGAACGAATGTTTAATAGATGATTTTTCTGTTTTGTTGTGTTAGATGAATGCTAGAAGAGAACTTTTTAATGGCTTTTCATCACCTATACTTCAGTTGTTCTCCACCATTATGCTTAATCATTGCTGTACCTTATACAGGCTAGCAACAAGCTACACTCTTTTTAAAATAGCCTTTTTCCTTTAATTTTTCTTATTTTCCTATTTGTTTTGGATTATTTTATGGAGACAAAAACTACATTACTTAATACGGGCAACTGAATTCACTGTATCTAGTTTTAATTGTAAGAAATTATCTAAAACTATAAGGAAAATATATAATTATCTACGTTAGTGCTATAAAAATTATAGAAATTGAATACCTCACTGTAGATTTAATATCTTTTCAAATAAATGAAACAATTTACAACATTAACAAGGTTTATACATTTTATTAAAATTCCAACCATCTAATGTTTTTGGTATGGATGTATATAACACAGATTATTTACCTTTGAATGTGTTATTTTATTACTGGTCATTTTTTGTTTTATTATTTATTGCATGAAAATATTGAAATGCAGTATAACAAACATAGCTAAACTAAATGCTTTTGGCTGTGTTATGGCTTAAAGTCTGTATATTATAATTGGTTAACATAGTGATACTAATGAATAAATAAATTTAAAGAAAATTGCATTAAAACATTTTAAAAAAGAATTCAACAACACAATGCTTATTACTTGTTACTGAAGTATAAACCACTATGGAATTTCAGGAATCTCCACTTGTTTGAACACCACTTAGATATTGACACAGCTCATGTGTTAAGGGTAAGCCACTCTTGTTTAATATTTTTAATTCAATATTTTTGCTGCTATTGACTCATAAGAGAGTTGTAAATTTTCTAAAAATAAAAATGGATAGATCTCATAATCAAAAATGAAAAAGAATCATTCAATTAATGTAAGAGTTTGATTAATTATGAGTAATGAGCCCTTATCACTTCCTACAACTTTATACATTATTATTTAAATGTAAAAACTAACATTTGAAAGGTGACTTTCCTAGATTAATAACACAAGGTACATGAGTTATAAAACACAGAAACAGTTATCATATTTTAGTTTAGTTAGTGTTCAAAAAGTTCAAATACTACTTGTTTTTAATTAGACACTAACATTTATTTTACCATCAATTTACAATTGTTTTGTGTTCTTTCCTCAGAGTGAATCAATCAAAGACTTTGATGAGCGTTTCACCTCCAAACTGTTTGGCTATGACTCAGTAGATCACTACTACACTGAAGCATCTCTGCATACCAAGGTCCATGCACTGGCCAAGCCTGTCCTGTGTCTGAGTGCTGCTGATGACCCTTTTTCACCGGAACACTGTAAGCTTTTTTTTTTTTTTTTTTACTGCCTGGTTAAGTATTAAGAATCTTTTTCCAGAAATTGAGTCAAGTTGTCTAACATCTTTAACGGTGCAAGAAAAAAAAAAAATTTGTTTATTTTATTAGCCATATGTCCATCCCCACCTTCCATTTTACGTTTAAAGAGAAAAATTTCTTACCCTAAAATTAAAAATATAAAAAATCAACAATTAAAATTAGAATTAGGACTACTCATTCTTCCTTTTAAAAAAAAATTCATTATACCAGTAATTTAAATGTTTCAAGTTTTAGAGTTTATAATCACCACCTTTAAAATGTAACACATCATGTCCCTTGCAAAGTTTAATATGAAATGTTTACTTTAAAGCCATACCAATGGCAGAGGCAGAACAGAATGACAACATTGCCATTGTCAAGACATCACATGGAGGACATATAGGCTTTTTAGAAGGGACCTTCCCTCGTGACAGAAGCTACATGTACAGGTGGTTCAAGCAGTATGTCTCAGCTGTCTTTGAGCAAGGCTTTAAAGATGAATAGCTTCCACAATTTAGCTTCCAAACTATTATTTATTTATATTTTAGTTCAGTCTTTCAACCCAAATCAAAATGTCATTGAAAGGAAAATCTGAAAAAGTGTTCCAGAAGGTACGCACCAAAAAGACTCACCTGTGTTAGCATATAGCATTTATTTATAAAGCATTTATTGTTTTTATAATGAGCAGTATTGGCATTGATAAACTAAAAGCATTGAATCCATTGCTTTACTTTGTTACAGTCACATAAGTAACTGCCAGTGTCACAAGCATAATTAATATTTTAAAAATTATAATTTTTAAAACTTCACTAAAACATTTTAATCGTACTCTTTCTTAAAAGAAACAATTTAAATGTTAGATTGTTTTTAATGAGCTTAAGTTGTTTTAGTTAGATGGTGTTAATAAATAAATAGCCTGTTTGGTGACATCTTGTTATTTTATAACTAAAATTTATCACTGTTATATGTTATTTGAAAAATAAATGCACATCTAATGGACAGTTACAGTGGACCAGTATATGATTTTTATGCACATTTTATCTCCATGTTTCTTGACTTTTTACCACTGAACAAAAGCTCACTTATAATAGACTTGTTAAAATTTCACTCACGTTTACCTCACTTAAGATCACACTAATGTTAAGTTGACCTCACTCTAGATGACATTAATTCAGAGGATTTACTTATACTCTGTCTCTCTGGTCATTCTTATTATTCTGCACCTTTGTATTGCATTTGTCATACTTGCTAATAGCATGCTAGACAATTTTTTAATTAAGATAGTCTATTGTTCACTAGTTTAGATATTTTTTTCTAATAAATGTGTTCATTAGATAGCAAAGTAACACAATTTTATTTGCTATTTAAATTTTCCCGGTTTTGTGAATATGTTTGTTTGTCTGTTTTTTAAATTCATAATCAGTCAATGATAATGCTACTGTGAAAATGAGCATGGAATAAATTATTTTACTTTTGTAAGATTTTTTTTTTTAACTTAGAAAATGAGCATGTTGAAGAAATTACATATTATGCAAAAACATTCAGACCTACTTCTGGAGTTTTATTTTAAAATGTATATGTTGTTTTACTTCCTTTGTTGATAAACAATTTTCTGCTTCCTTAAAGAAACTAAAAATAACTCATCAGAAAACTTTATACTGTAAATATAAAAACAAGGAAAGTCCAAAGAAAATAATTTGCACTGTCACATTAGTTGAATTATTGTTTAATCAAGTTGCATCAAGTAAAAGATTTCCTGTAAAAAGTTTTACAATAGAATACCAAATACATTTTGTATAAAGAATTGATAGTCAATGGGATTTTGTGTCTAGTTATAGGCAGTAGTTGAGAAATATTTATGGCATTTAACATTCCTTATTGCTTATGGTTTTTCTATGTGCTTAGGTTTGTAACAGTTATGTTTATAATTGTATTGAGTTCGGGTATACTTATTATTTTTGGTCACACAGTCTTAAGAAAGTTCTAGAGCAATAAAATAGTAAATAAAAATACTATGCATGTGTGTGAACCTTAAATTTAATCTTTTTACCAGAAGAAAATTGTATGAATCAGTGTTTTGAGCCTAGACCTTAAAAAATTCTAATTTTTTCTGCAATAGTTACATATATTTGACTTACATTTTAAAAATGATTAGCACCAAATTTTTTAGATTGATAAAAAGCAGCAAACAATGTAAATGTTTTAAAAAAAAAAAAAAAAAAAATACTTTAAAAATACAAATCAAAATTATACAATAATTTTTTAAAGTTTAAAATATATTTTTCACATTTCAAAAAATAATTTGCATAACATTTTATTCAAAAAATGATTTTTTAATAACATAAAAGATGGATGGATTGTGCAACATTTGTACAAAAAAAGTAAAAAGTGAAAGAAGTAACTATACAAGATAGTTAATGGACGGATCTTTCAACATAAATAGATAAAAAATATGACATGCCAACATGGGCTTTGTAAAGAACTAAAAAATTATACTTTAAACTTGACCATGAAATCAACATTTTTATAGATAAATAGATAAAAATAATATGACATGCCAACATTGGCTTTGTAAAGAACTAAAAAATTATACTTTAAACTTGACCATGAAATCAACATTTTTATAGATAAATAGATAAAAATAATATGACATGCCAACATTGGCTTTGTAAAGAATTAAAAAATTATACTTTAAACTTGACCATGAAATCAACATTTTTATAGATAAATAGATAAAAATAATATGACATGCCAACATTGGCTTTGTAAAGAACTAAAAAATTATACTTTAAACTTGACCATAAAATCAAATTTAAAAAAAAACAACTAAATGTTAGTTAAACAGATTTCATGTTAGGACAATATTTTCAATATAATAAATGCATAAAACTACCAAACAAAAACATTTTCCAAATTTGGTAAACCAAAATGTAAGCTACATACAACTAATATACCATAGAAAATGTACTTATGTTATTCATTATTATTGTATAAACAGATGTAAGCATTTAAATAGTTTTGATAAGATTAATTAGTATAATAAACATTTTCATTAGTGAGAAATCTATTATTCGTTAATGTTTTCACAGAAATATCAGTAGTATAAACCCAGTTATATTTAATTCAGTTTTACAATGTTATAAAAATTAATTTTAAAAATAAATAAATTTACAATTTACTTACATTATCATTATTATCACACATGATTTGTTTAAAAATATAGAATTTTTTTTATTAACAATAATACTTACAGTTTAAAACTGTTTAAAAAAAATTCAACAAAGACTAAAATGTTTCTTTTCATAAAAAATAATAATTTTCAATTAAAATAAATTAAAGTATTATAAACAGTTTTTCTAAAAATAGTAATACAATTTATTTTGCTCTATTATTTAAAATATTTTAATCAGCCTTAACCATATTTTCTATGGATACTGCCTAAAGGTACAAGTGTATCCGATAGTTAAGGATATGTTTCGGATGGCATAATCATTCACACCATCCCGACAACCGGTTTTCTCAACCACTGGGACAACCTGGTGCAAGGGCTGACAAGTTCTTCCTTCATGGTTCTCAATTGGCCTTGATCTGTTAATCAAATAATTTTTTATAAAGCTTTTAAGTATTTTATACATATTAAAATTTCTAAATTGAAAACTATCATTAAACAAACAATAGTGATTAAAGCAAGCTATTGCTTTGTTTAAACAAAGCAATTATGTGTTCGCCAGTATATGATAGATTAGAAGCCTAAGCATATTCTACTACACATTAAAGGGAAACAACTGCTGATTACTTAACCATGGGAAATAACTGATTATTTAACCTAACTTTTTTTTTTCTTTCTTTGTTTGGCCTTCGTCTTAATGCAATAACATTTTTTTTTTTACAAAAAGAAAAAAAAAATCTGATGACGGTTAACATATTTTGTAAGTACCTTTGGTTTTGGGTTTTCAAACATGTCTGGATAATATCTTGTGGAAGCTGTGTATGGTTTCTGAAGGAGGGAATTTGTCTGGCTTCATACAACCTGCAGGGGTATCTGAAGAGAAAGTTCCCATAATGGTTAACCTCAAAACTAATATTTGAATAGTAATAGATACACAAATTAAAATCGTATCTGATGGTTTTGAGGTTTACAAAGTAAAAAAGTTTCCTTTCGAACTTTACGGTCCATGTGGCAGATGAAGTAGAGTTCACCTGTTTCAGTGACATCGGCATATGAAGGGATAGTGTCGTCAGCACTATACCCAGCTGACATTACTTTCCTTAACATAAGTCAGGTACTTATCAGAGCTGGGTGGGCTCAGGGACATCATTCGGATCCAATACCGGGATTTGAAATCCGACTTGCAGGTTACCAGTCGAACGCTCTACTATTCGACCACTCCATCCCATTTACAAAGTACGTAAAAACGAATTTACCTTGTGCCTGCTTCATCTTCATTGATGCCGTGCGTCCATGGACAAGTGAGTCTAGAGCTGTGAACGTTGTTTGACACGGTCCATCGTGGCTTGGCTATTTTGTTATCTAATGAAATATTGAAGTTTGACTAATGGACTGTTTGACTATGTTTTTTTTAAAATGTAAACATAACTAAATGTACCGTGTTTGATGAAATAAATAAATAAAGCCTGAAAGTTTGAACGGTTAGGTCTTGAATTAGTGTTAGCATTATTTTAAATTTAATAATATTCACGCATAATGGTTAACGATCATACTATTATTAGTTCTAACGGTTTTCTAATACCTTTTTCTTTAAAAAAAATGTTTCTTAGTCAAACACGGGTAGAACATCTTCAGGTTAAAATATATAAACATAGGAAGAACAAGGTCTACATTTTAAAATGTCTAAAATAAAAATAAAAACACGTCTATTATTTACAAAATTTTAATTTTTTTAAATAGGCCCTAGTCTAGGAGAGAAAACAGATAACTCGAGGCAAGGGAGCTTACCGTCAACAAAAGTGCACGGCCCTTGGACGATAAAGTCAGAAGTGTCGGGAACAAATTCGTAGAAATCTTGCACCAGTTTTTTTAAATGTTGTAGGTAGTCTGGGTCTTCACAGCTCAAAACAGGTGAAACGGAAACCACAATCATCAAAGCGAGTATAGCTTGAATGAAAAACTGCTGAAATTTTAAAACAGATTTATTTGAAATTCATTTCTTTAAATAAATGGTTAGAATGTTGGTTTAGATCTAGCGGAAAAAAAAATCATTCTAGGATAAAAGTAAAAAAAAAACAACATAAGAAAACCGAGAAGCTATTACAATATTGAACCTTGAATTTTTTATAATTATTTAAAATAAAAAACAACCCTTGACTGATTACTGAAGCCCACCAAGGTACAAAACTCTAGTTGCCTTAGTGATAGTCTGCAGACAATTTCCTAAATACACACTAAATACACAGACTCGTTTAATGCCTCCCTTCCCATCAACATAACAAAGAAAATGCCCGACAAAGCGTTTTCGTCAAAAATATTAAAATTTTCAGAACAAATACAATTTTTTGTTGTGTTTTACGATCTCCTTGTAATAACTACATCATCATGAAGACCTACGCCATGTTATACTCGTTGGTCGGACACTGGTCCTACATCTACTTCATGTGATAGCCATGGACCATACATTTGATATCCATTGGTCGAACAACGGACCTACATCATGTGATAGCTATTGGTCAGACACTGGACCCTCATCACGTGATAGCAATTGGTCGAACACTGGACCTATATCATGTGATAGCCATTGGTCGAACAACGGACCTACATCATGTGATAGCCATTGGTTGAACAACAGATCTACATCATGTGATATCCATTGGTCGAACAACGGACCTACACCGACTACCTGTGATAGCCATTGGTCAGACACTGGACTTAACGCCTACTTTTTGTAATAGCCATAGACCGTACATTGGACCCTCGTCACGTGATAGCCATTGGTCGAACAATGCACCATCGCCTACTTCCCGTGATAGCCATAGATTATACACTGGGCCTTCATTATGTGGTAGCCATTGGTCGAACACTGGACTTAGATCCTGTGATAGATAGCCTTTAGCAGCACACAACTTACCATGATTTATCTTCTTGATGGCAGAGGTAGAAAATCTGAAAGCTCCACAGACTTGTGTACGAATGTGTTTAATGCTAAAGCAAGATCGTTCTCTGAGTCTATGTGGACTCACACCATCGTTTTTATACAAGCTGGTCTTCCTGATAGGGTCAGGGAAACCCGCCATCCAGGTCATTGGCTATTATTGGACACACAAGACATATCGAACTTAGGAGGAGCTGATCTTCTTGTACTACATTGCGGAAGAATCTTCAAAATCCGGGCCCAATTAATCTAATTTTAAGTTAAATTGGGTTAAATTACGTGATTTTACGTTGGGACGAGGTTTGGGAATCCCTTTCAAAGGTAAACCCCGGTCGAGTCACGAATTATTTAGTGAGTGTAAAGGACGGGGGAGACCCACTGATCTGATGGGGGACACAGCTTTGATGGGGATACTCCTTGTGTTTGTGAGAAAGGGCGGGGTGGTGGAGGATGCGTAACGAATTGTACGGTGTTGTGATAGTATTATAACCCCAGCAATCTTACCCCCCAACCACCCTAGTGCTATCTCAAAGATAACGTTACAGTTTGAAGCAGACTAAAATTATGAAATGATTTTCTTTTTGTCCGTCCCACTTTCTTTGCGCTTCCTGCATAAGTTAAAACAAATATAAAACAACAACAGAAAACAACGAAACAGGCTATTTTTCCGACCAGTTAACGATTCAAAAGATGAATGATAAGTATAATTATAATGAATCATACAGTATACACATTTTAAAAAAATGTACCAATTGCGTATATTTATATATTTGAATCCTATTATTTGTTCGGATATTAACTGTAACGTTTTACATTAAATTATAATTTCGTGATCTACCACGATTGATCAGAAGATCATTCGAGGCACAGGAAGA